TCAAAAAAATCTCATTTATTGTTATTTATTTTATCATCTGACTTGCATGATGACTCTGGAATGACTGTTTCTGACCAATCAGTGGTCCAGTGATACGTTCAGGCTTAGCACCCTTGGTAACCAGACAAGAACAGAAACCCATTTCAGCACAGTTAGGGGTGTTCCCACCACAGATTTCTTCTCTCCAGTGTGCCTCTTTTCGTTGTTGTCTATGGACCAACGTGTGCCATGACTGTCCAATATGCTTTACTTTTAAACCATTTGTTTAACTTTTTCTACTGAACTCCAATGAAAGGCCCCAATCATCATCCACAGCTAGTGGTGTATGCTACAATGTTGACTCCACTTAATTTTAACCAAGACAGCACCGGAGCCATTGATAAAGAGAAACGGATTAAACCTGTTTTTTGAATAGCTACAGATTGTGGAAATATGATGAAAATACATAGATTATACCAAGCAATATCCGGCAGCTTGACAAATGATTACAGCTGATTAATGTTAGAACACATCTTACCATCTTGCCTGTTTCACATAATGAGGCTGCTGAAGGGAGCTTGAGCAGGCTACAGGACGAGGGGAAACTCAGAATGAGAAAATCATTATTGTAGTGATCATTTTTAATTGTAATTATTATTAATCAGTTAATCAGATTTAAAGTCAAGTTTTTAAGTTTTTATTCCGAAGCAGCTGAAAGTTCTCGTTCTACTTTTTACAAATTTTTCGTTCCACCTTAAATGTGGCAGGTGCAGGGGCGCCTCTACAATAGGGGCCAGTGGGGCCTGACTCCACCAGATGTCGCTGTGCACGACATGATCAATAATTCAGTAAAACAACTAATGTGCATATATATATATATATATATATATTCTTTGTAATTGACATTGTTGCACATTTATTACATATGACAATGGTAGGGCTGTCCGACAAATTCCAAATTTCCTGTAACTGTTATGTAAATGCCACTATGTAAATGCCCCATGCTAAGAGCAGCTAATAAAGCATAATAAATATACATATGTCCAGATGTTTAGTAAACATTGTCGTTTACGATATGGGCGTTGCTATGCAGCTAGCCACTGCTCCTTATCAGTTGTGGTAGCCACTCATAATAGCAAGGCAGTATAATGAGTCGAGTCGAAAATGTAATAAAAGTTCAATTTGGTTCCAACCATTAGAGCAGAAATTAGAGATGAAACGTTTGGGACACACCAGACAGAGGATTTCAACATCATTCAGTCTGGAAAGGACAAAATCTGCTTCTTTAATCCAGAGAAGTTCAAAAGAAAAACATGGCTAACTGTGATTGTAGCTAAAAACACTCTTCTGCTTTCCTTGCCTGCTCTTGCTACGCTATCACCTGAATTCATTCATGGATTGGTGGATTTTGAGAGGAAATCTTTGATTTTTGCTGAGACATTCTGCATTATTACAAGGCGTGTTATTCCTAATGGCCCGGAAGCGTGTTTCCCTGCTCTGATATGTAGTTGCAGACCGCAATGATCGTTCACTGCTAGATAACTTTGGATTTGTAATGCGATGCTGTATAACCAGGTTTTGTGAGATCTAATGTCGTTATCATATCACTCATATTGTCCACTTCCACTAACTCCTTTGTGATTTCACTGATGGAGTTTCATTGACGAGTCGCTGCTGCCCCTACAGTTTATTGTGTCCCACCAGGCTTTCTGTGCCAGAGACGCCACTGTGCAGGAGTTAAGCTTAAATGGTGCGCAGGTGCCAGAATTAGTGCCATTAAAGGTGAGGCAGAAAATTTAAAGCAGAAACTGGCAAATAAGTCCATCTTCAACTCCATCCTCTTTCCCACAGTGTCCAGTGTGTTGCTGGCTTTTGTTTGTTGTACTGTTTCTAATCCTTGTTAGTGTATGAAGACATTTTTCTGACCAGAGTTTGTGCTTACAGTGACTAGTGGGCAGCGCTGGCACATGATGAAGCCGGTAATTAAACAAACTAATGCTACTCAGACTTGAACTCTAATCTACATTACACACACTTCTGTTCAAATGTCCCTCAAGCCAGTCATGATGAAGAAACACAGAGTCGACCCCAACTTTTAGACGTGTTTGGGATTGACTTCCCTTCACCATCCATGGCTGACCAGTCAATAATTAAGGAAACTTTCTCTCTAGTCAGTCAGTCTAGAGCTGTACAACCATTTAGAGATTAACACAACCTGAGTTTTATATTTATTGTTATACACCCGTCAGCGACAACAATAAAACCACCTACTTACCATATTGGTGCAATTTGTAGTTCTACAGTTACAGACTGTAGTCCATCTGTTTCTCTGCATACTTTGTTAGCCCCATTTCACCCTTTTCTTCAGTGGTCAGGACCCCCATGGACCCTCACAGAGCAGGTACTATTTGGGTGGTGGATCATTCTCAGCACTGCGGTAACACTGACGTGGTGGTGGTGTGTTAGTGTGTGTTGTGCTGGTCTGAGTGGATCAGACACAGCAGTGCTGCTGGAATTTTTAAACACCTCAGTGTCACTGCTGGACTGAGAATAGTCCACCAACCAAAAATATCCAGCCAACAGCGTCCTGTGGGCAACGTCTTGTGACCATTGATGAAGGACTAGAGGATGACCAACACAAACTGTGCAGCAACATATAAGGTACTGACTCATTTGCAGACATTTGCAAGATGGATCAACAGGGTAGGAGTGTCTAATAGAGTGGACAGTGAGTGGACACAGTGTTTAAAAACTCCAGCAGCACTGCTGTGTCTGAACCACTCGTACCAGCACAACACACACTAACTCACCACCACGTCAGTGTCACTGCAGTGCTGAGAATGATCCACCACCCAAATAGTACCTGCTCTGTGAGGGTCCATGGGGGTCCTGACCACTGAAGAAAAGGGTGAAATGGGGCTAACAGAGTATGCAGAGAAACAGATGGACTACAGTCTGTAACTGTAGAACTACAAAGTGCTTCTATAAGGTTAGTGTAGCTGATAAAATGAACAGTGAGTGTAGATACAAGGAGGTGGTTTAAATGCTCTCGTTGACCTGTGTACATGTCAGTTTTGATATCCATGTAGTCTCAATTCGCTGTCTTATGTTTGCCTACTTGCAGTCAAATGCATTAACCTGACCTCTAAGAAGTCCATGCTCCCTCTTATTGGACACAAGATACCAGCATTCCTCCTGCTTAATAAAAAGGCCTTGTCAGAACTCCTCCTTAAGCTGCAGTCACACCAAACACAAGCATGATTTGCCTGGCGAAAAGATAATTCACGAACTTGACTTTGCTTCTGGTAGCGGTTAATTTTGCCTTCCCCCGAGTTCCTCTAGGTGGACTTTAACCCTGCAGATTTGTGAATCTCCGATATGAGAGCCAATAGAAAACGAGACAGCGAAAAAACTAAACAGAGAATTTTCTCCCAAGTCAACGTAATGTTGCTTGTCACTCACAATTGCAAAAATACCTACTTAACCTGCTAGCATTAGCTGTTCTGATGAACCATAGGACTATACATTCCCTCCAAAATGACCACATCAAAAAAGCCCAGTACTCACCTTATTTTTGCTCAAGCCAGTGTTGCCAGATTGGGCAGGTTCCCTCCAAATTGGACGGATTTTGGTCAGATTTGACATGAGAAAAAGTGGTGGACGGACAAAATTAGGGCTGGTTTGTCATTTTGGCAGGGTTTTAAAAGAATAAAAAAATAATAAACTGCATTATTTTATTATTTTTACAAGTGCTCAATATGAACCTTCTCCAGCTGTACGGACATCAACACCATAGTCAAATTCATCCCATATTCGATTGAACGTGTCATTCGTTCATCCAGTGTTGTGGAACCAACGCCGAACGCTCTGAGCTGTTGGAGCTTCACTGCTGACAAAAATCACGCTGCAAAGTTATGATGGATTCACTCTTATTGAAGTGGAGAACGCAGAACGCTTTCTGCTCAGGGGTCTCCATCTCCTTGCAGAGTGAAGGGAGCCATCATCCGGTGACAGTCAAAGACTCCCTCTTTCAATTGGTATGTGATTGGTTCCTAGGCACCTCACGGTTGTAAAAATATGGCGCTTTGAAATTGGCTGAATCTTTTTGAATCACCCTGTGGATGTAATGGACGTGCATTCTAGAGCAGATTATCCAGTTTACATGGCGTTACAGTCTATATATAATTTTGCAATAGTAGAAAACTGGAATTGCTCCTGATCTGTTTCGGCATAGCATTTAAAGGTAAACTAGTTTTAAAAATGTATATGAGGAATAGTAATGCCTGCAGTATGTTATTGCTATTCAGTAGCCTTTTTAAATTGTATGGGATCATGACTCCTATCACATCAAAGGTACAGCAGGGGTTTTAAGGTCCAATTGTGAACCTTAAATAAGTTTTTCCAGGTGAAAAGTTCGTATTTGTACCTTTTCATAACCGAATGTTTTAAAACAGACAAGAAGAGACAAGGGTGTTTGGAGTCAGTACAGCCTATATATATATAGCCTAAATATCATTTCAGTGGATTATGGTACAGTTATGTTCCCTGACTACAGGTACTGAGATGTACCCTTGAGGATACTGACCCAATGACAGTTTAGTACCTTTATTTCTGAGAGTGCATTATGGTTAAAATGTCCCTAGACTGTACTTGATATGTTCTTTTTGGACGTTTTTACATTCAGTTTGGTGGGTTTTGAGCATTTATAGATTGGAAACTATACAAGCAATTTGGCAACCTTGGCTCCAGCCCCACAAAGAAAATAGTGCGAAGGCTGTCCAGTGTGACCACAGGTTTACTCAGGTCAAAGGGGACAAAATCACAGGTTTGCATCCATTCCGGATGTAATACATAATACATCTGTACATTTTTCACCTCTGCTAAAAATATGCACTTCTTAAAAGATGTTAATACACTTGATTTGTTTTCAGAAGAAAAAAAAATCTTAAACAGACAAAATACAAAGCAGTTTTTATTATTTATTTCAGGAATACTTGGCACAAAAGCAGATGGGGAACTTAATATGTGGCTGTGGTTTTTTATTAAAGCTCTATACAAGCGTATTGCAGTCTGGACACATGATTGACATGATGAATGACAATCCTTTTCTACTCCACATGAGAGAGAAAGAAAAGCATTTCTCTGAAGAAAAGAAGCAGACTTTGAGGCAGACGGTGCAGGAAGTTGCTGCCCAGGGCCGGATCGATTACATCTAAAGAGAAAATTCCTTTGAGAGAAACTTGTGAGGAAATAGCTCAGAAATGATGGGAATTAAGAAGCCATGTTAAAGTGCTTTATACACTACAGAGAAATGTGGCCTGAAATCAGCACTGAAAGCCCTACTGAGGCTTCTAGATAGCTTAGAAGGGGTCAAAAGATCAGCAGCGCCACCAAAATCAAGTTGATGATGGCCGATGGTTACGGAAGTATAATACAATTGTGCTACTCTAGTTGTGCTCTAAACTCTTCAAAGTAAAGTTCCCAAAGGTTCTTTGTTAGTACAGTTGTAGGACAAATTATGTTCTTGAAGGAACCTAAGGAACCTAACCTCTTCTATGTCCTTGCTCCAAAGAACCCTTTTTGGGGCCTCTACTTTTAATATGGATATGTGCGTATCAAGAAGGTTTTAAACCTACAAAAAATGAAATAAAATGAAAAAATGTTGGATTTTAATCCTAATTCTGTCAGTGATGACAGTGATGACCCATCAATTTAACTACTGTTACTGTCTACTGTTGGACCAGCAGTTCAGGTCTGCCTAGTGCAGTTGTCAACAATCTACTGTTACCAATATTAACTATTGTCTCAAACATCTAGTATCTAAGATTTTACAGTTAAAAATAATAAATATATCATGTTGTGGGTTGTCAATGATCAAATTAAACATGGTTTAACATACAGCAGATACACAGACATCATAGCTGTCTGTGTAGCGTTGATGGAAGCCACTTGGTGAGGTATGTTGTTAAGAAACTGGACATTTCTGTGAGCCATGAGTGTACAATTGTGTCAGTATCTATGAGGAGCCATGTGTCCCAGTGATCCCCAGTAGTAACGCCACTGCTCAGTTCAATATACTTTACCTGTATATGTAAATTCTAATGGATGGATACTTCTCTGAGACAATTTTCCTTCTAATGAAGTCTATCCGTAAGGCTAAGAAGCTACTTTTGCCTCCATTTTGGCCACCATATTTAGTCACTAGTTCCTTTTTCTGGGCTTCACTTCATTCGATCTGTTTGCTCCACATTTGCTGATCACTTTTCTCACTTTTGAGTTTTAGCTTTTTAGTTTTAGACCAGTGTTCACCAACCTTGGCCCTGGAGATGTGCCTTCCTGTGGAGTCTCCAACCACAGTCTGCCACACCTGCTTCAGCTAATGAACCTGGCTGGATCAGATGCATCGGTGTCAGGGAAGTGGGGTGTAAGCCTGTTAGGTCCGCTGGAAAGGAGATCTCCAGGGGGTTGTGACCACTGGTTTAGACCAAAAGGATCCCAAGAGTTGTGCCAAATGAACTGCAGTTTCTATGCTTATAGATGCTAGATGTACTAGAGCAGGGGTGCTCTGTCCTTATCCTGGAGATCTACCACCCTGCACGGTTTAGATCCAACCCAAATCTAGCACACATAAAGGCCTTTAGGAACGTCTACATGTTAGAGCAAGGTGTGTTTGAACTTTGTGCTAGAGATCCGGTTCTACAAGGAGCTTAAAACATAACAAGTCTTTGGATTAAATGCTAAAGTTTGTTTTTGCTGGCTACTTTTACTTCTACGTCAGCCATTACTTCATTACAATAACAATACCTTTCCCTAAGTGTGGGTTCAGGCTACTCTACCCACCTCTGACAATTTCTGAAGAACTTTCATTTTCAGAGCACACACTGTGTTTAGCGTCCTTTACAGAATTAACGGCTGATTGCTCTTCCCCTTCTTGTGTGGCGTGCCAGCTTTGGCGGATCTCTCCCAGCCCTGGCGTATGCGGGTGATGGTGCGGTCCATACATGGAGTGATCAGGAACAATTTCAGAATCAGAACCACGCAAGGAACCACCAGGGACAGCATGTAGCCAGGTGGCATCCACCACTTATAAGCAGAGGGCTTCAGGAACTTGTCCCAGCCATATAGAAAGGTGTGAGCTGTGCACAGCAGCAGGGTCAGATGACCTAGTTTAGACTGAGATAAGAGAGAGCATGGATGAGAATTAGTCCAGAGAAAAATGCTAATGTAGCTAACAGTGAATGAAAGGAGAAAGCTAGTCAGCATGAAGTATTAGCATGTGTGTCATAGCTATTGCTTTGGTACGTCTTAGAGCTCCTTACTCTGTTCAGTTATCCATGATGAGCCCATCCGTCCATTTCCGAGAAATGAGGGAAAAGGTTTAACCAAAAATGCTACCGTGGCTAATAATGAAAGCATATTGCCACCATTTAGCATGATGGTCTTACTATTGGCGGCTATAGTCATATTTCGGTTGTCCATTATTTTGGTCAAACTGCTCCTTTATGGCAATAAAAACAATTTATCTTTAATAATGTCCTATAAACAATGTGGGGAAATAAGTCTTCAGATACTTTTGTTTTTGCTATTAAATATAATTTCAGTGGTTAAAATTACTTCAAATTTAAACACAGAATGTGTTTTGATGTTGTACTTAAAAATATAACAAAGTATGTGTTCATAAGCATAAACAAAGATATGGTAGGGTAAAAAGTATTCAGACATCACAAATTAATAACATTAGTACTTTGTTGCAAAGCCATTCTTAGTAATTACAGCTTCAAGATGTCTACGGTAAGAATTAATTTGCATTCTGCAGCATTGTGGCTCATTTGTCTTGGCATTTTTGAATTTTTTGAAAGATTGCAAAGTTTCCTCTGTTTCGAAACCCTCTATAAATTTCCAGCAGTCAGAAGATGAGCCATGCTATGTAAGCACTTTCACTTTTTTAGAAAAGTTATTTTGGTTGAATGTCTGAGGGCCTTCTCTTGCAAAACATCCATCATCTCCCCAGATTCAGTTTCTTTTTGGTGAAATTGAATTCTCCCCTGCTATGTCCTGATACATCTCTTTATTTATGTTTCCATCAGTGACATCTAATACCTCAGTTGGCAGTAAAGTAGCTCTATATCATGATGCTCCCACCTTCATACTTCACCGTAAGTATTGTGATGCTGCCATAGGGAGCATAGGGGGTTGTTGTGTTTAAAAGAGTAGTCGTGTTTGACCAGGGTGGACTTTAGTGACTGCAGTTAATCAGTGGTTAGAATTGTCTAACCTTCTTGAATATCATGCCCTCCCGTGTTACCCCTTCCCTGTGTTTCATGTTGGGGAAGCGTTGGGCTGGGCTGCCTGTTGGAGTGCCTGTTAAGAAATACAAGATCTTTTACCCATACGCGCAATGCTGTCCGCACCTTCTTCTGGCCCGACGCTACAGTATGGTCCTCTTGGGTGCAGTGTAGGTGCAGAGGTGATTGCGGTGCAGTTCAATGCTTATTGTTCTCTATGCAACTATTGTCTCTGCTGCTTTCAGGTCGTCGTGCAACTCTTTTCAAGTGACCGCTGGCTTCTCTCTTACCTTCCTTATCCTTAGTCTGAGAGACATCTTGCATGGTGTGTCCATCCAGGGCCAATTAGTTGTGGTTCCATGAAATTTCCAATTGCATGTTATCAAGCCAGTTGTGCTGACAGGGATGGGGAGGTCTTTGTTTTGGCCATCTTCCAATGGCCAAGTCTTTTATGACACCAGGTGCAGTTTTCAAAGGAACATTTTTAGCCTTATTTTTACAGCATTAATATGTAGAATTTATTTTCCGTTTTAACCTTTTGATATATGTATATTTCAGTATAGTGTCTGAATACTTTATTCCCTGTTAATATATCTTTGTTTATGCATACTTGACATATGTATAAGTGCAAGGCCAAAAGATTATTTGTGCCAATTTGAAGTGGATAGATGATTAATGATGTATAAGACAATGTTACTTTTTTTGCACCATTTGAAAACACTGCCATTTACATTATGTGAACATTTCCTGACATATCTACCAACAGAAATGGTCCAGAATGACTAGTAATACAATTTTATCATATTACTGTATAATAATTTAAGAAAATTTTTCCTTCTCCTGTAAAATTGCCATTTCAGAGATGCAAAGTTGTGCTAAAACAAAGACCATATAATCATTCAGATCTCAGGTAAATGTAGAATGACATTGACGGAGTTGCTTGCCTGGAATTTAAATGAAAAGCATTCAAGAAGGAGCAACACATCGTATGTAAAAGTATGTTAATGTATCTCTATGTGTGATAACATAGGGTTAGATGTTTGCACACAGAATCTCATTATGACTAACACTTTGGACTCACTGCTCACCGTGGTGTAAAATATTCATCGAGCTTTGGCTTTAATACCTGTATACAGCTGAATTCTCTCCAGTTGAGTGAGTTGCTGACAGACGGGAGGGATGTGATTCCCAATAAAACAAACAATGCAAATCCCAGCATTCCCATAGCCAGGTAGGAGTCGGAGCGCCAGGCCATGACGTTGTCGAACTCGTAGGTTTTATTCTCTTTGATCTAGAACACAGTGATTTATTAAGTTAGCATCTGTAAACTGTAGCATTTGCTAATCAACTTAGAAGCTTAAAAGACTGTATGCTTAAAAGAAATCCCGTTGCGGGACTAGCAGAAACGTTCCTTGCTTTTTTTTTTTTTTAAGTTTGAACATTTATGGCTGAAAGACAGCTTAACTGTAATAAACATGGTTCACCTTGTTGGTCCTTCATAGCCCAGCAACTGCAACTATGCTCTGGATACTTTACAGTATGCAATAGCATATTTAAATATCTGAAAACTTGCCCGATTTCACAAGAGTTTGGTGAAGAGTAGGGCTGGGTAATATGACAATCTATATTGTTATCATGATAAATTATCTCACAATACAATACAACACGCTTTTCTGAGCATATGGTGCATATCATCCGTACCTGTAGAGCACTGACCACCTGCATGATTTCATTATACAGAGAACAAAATTTGTCCTGTTTAACTGGATTTAGAGCAACACAGTATGCAAAATATGGATTTAAATACACCGATCAGGCATAACATTATGACCAGATCCTCAGATCCACTCAGACCAGCGCAACACACACTAACACAACACCACCACGTCAGTGCTACTGCAGTGCTGAGAATGACCCACCACCCAAATAGTACCTGCTCTGTGAGGGTCCATGGGGGTCCTGACCACTGAAGAACAGGGTAAAAGTGGGCTACAAAGTATGCAGAGAAACAGATGGACTACAGTCTGTAACTGTAGAACTACAAAGTGCACCTATATAGTAAGTGGAGCTGATAAAATGGACAATGAGAGTAGAAACAAGGAGGTGGTCATAATGTTATGCCTGATCGGTGTATGTATGTAATAATTGTTGAACCAAACATCTTGGTGCCACTGAAGCTGCAAGTAAATTAGCAGTTAGGCGACACTTGAGTTGCCGGCCAACATGGGGTCTTTCGAGAGTAACGTAGAAGTGATAAGTGGTGATATCACTTTTGGATTGACTATACAAGTTTTTGTTGACCCAGTGGTAACTGCTAACCGTGCTCACGTTTGGTCTTTTGTGTCTTATCATTTCTCAGTCATACCTTCATCTTTCTGTAGCTGCTTCGTTATTATTTAATTAGGTGAGTCACATTTATATCGAGTCATATATTATTAAACCTTTTGCTCAGTTACTGCATGAATTACTGCTGGGAGTGAAGGCATGCTAGTTTGATTCATCATGCCTGCTGCTGGGTCATTCTCTGTAGTGTGCATACTTGAGTAGAAGGCCACATCTTGGTCTTTGCGACCAAGATTTCTTCTGCATTTATCATGCCCTCTATAAACTGCAGGAATCGGTCTGTGAAAGAGCCTCTGTAATAACACTGACGCTTATTTTCATGATACCATCTTTATGTTTGCCACTATTTTGGTGTTAGAGGAGACACAGAGGAATCAGTATCATAAAACGCTAAACTGGCAATAAACGTACCACAATGAATGCGTTTACATGCACTTAATGATCTGATAACTGCAGAAAATCAGATTTTGTCAGTAGTCCGATCAACACGTTTACATGGTCTTGAGTAATCAGATCATGTGGAAACTCCAGGTCTATATGAGTCAGGCAGTAATCGGATGAGCCAATAAACTCACAGAAGATGACGTGACGTAAACATAACGTAAAACTCAAATTCATGCCGTGGCTTTTTTTTAAACATGAAAGAAATCAGAGTAAGAGTTCACATGCACTGAGAAATCTGATTACTGAGCTAAAATCCAGCTCTCTTTATCTGATTTCTTAATCGGATTTCTAGATCAGAGTATGGCGTTTACATGACCATTTGAATAATCGGATAACTGCAGAAATCCGATAATGATTGGATTATTGAGTGCATGTAAACTCACTCATTGACACTGCCTTCTGTTGGAGATCTTGCAAACTCTCTACTTTGTTGTTGTGACCACATACTATCTAGAGCAGGGGCTCTTAGTTCTAGTCCTAGGGACTCCATGCCTGGCACAGTTTACCCTCAACACACCTGCCCCAGCTCGTTAAGGGCTGAGTAATTAGCTCTTCATGTGGATCAGGTGTGTTGAGGGTAGAGGGAACTTCAAACTGCGCAGGGCAGGGGGTCCCCAGAACTGGAGTTTAAGTTCTAGCGTAGTGGTCACTAACCCTGCTCCAGCCTACATGGTGCCACCCTAATCATCTAACACTAATGCACCTGATCGAGCCAACCAAGGATTTCTGAAGACATTAATTAGCTGGAGCAGGCGGAACACATTATGGATGGTAAAAGGACCAGTTTTAATGACCACTTCTCTCAGACGAGGCAGGCTTACTACAAACTTCTACCTACAGCTCAGTTGGTCCACAATTATTCCCTTATAAAGCTCTAAACATGCCTGTTGTCGGAAGAAAACCTTGTATCTCCAAAATGGTAACTTACAGGAAAAGGAAAGAAACCTACTTTACTTTCAATGTAAGTTAATGGAGCCAGAATTGTTTCCGAGTCATTTTGGGTCGTTTCTTTTGGTCCATTCTTCATGAAATTTATACACAATGTAAAGAACAACAGGCATTTTCAAATTATGTCAAAAACTGAAAAAAGACAAAAATGGAGATACAAGGTTACATCAGTGATATGTATCATGATAATAAGACATCCAATAGGAGTTAACCATGTAAAAACTCTGATGATTAACTTTTAACCATTAGAACCCCAGAATTTTGGGATTTTTTATTTTATTTATTTTTTTTGTATTTTGGGTCAATTACAGTAACAGTTGCAATTATATAGTATTTACATGTGACAGTCACAAATGCCATATGTTATTTTCAGGAGACCTTGGGCTACTTAGATATGCCATTGTTTGACATGTAAATTCTAACGGAAATTTGATATGAATTTGGGTCATTTCTGATCAAAAATTTACCTTATTACCTAATTTTGTCATTTTTTGCTTATAGAGATCTTGAGAACAAGTTGCGACTCAGACACCTGTTCAGAAATTGTTAGTCTGGAGTGTCTGTGAGCTGAAAGTGCACCAATTTTCTGTCCTCTTGGATTCAGGCTGAGTGCTAAAACTCTGATACACAGCAAGACAGGCTTTATTTTAAATTACAAACTGAGATGATAATTTTTAAAACTCAAAATCAACTGAAAGACAGAGCTAAATATTATTAATTGTATAATAATATCTTGTCATTTTTTGTTATTTATCTATTAAAATGTGTTTTAGGGCCTGTTTGTGTGATTCTGAGGGAAAGTGCACTCTGTGTGTTGAATTGGGACACTGCATTTGTTGTCTTTTTCATGTCTTTTCGCCCATTTTGCTGGTTTAAACGACAAAACAAACATTCAACCAATGTTCAATAATTTATAATTGAATCGGCAGATTTCTCATTAAACTTCAGGACCGTTTTTGAATTGTATTTGTGAGATTGCAAGAACTTCTGGTAGCCGCACTATTATAACTAGGACCTTAAGCCAGTGCTAAGGTAGGCTACAACTGACTCGGTTGCTTCGGTTGATTGTAGCCTGAAGCTATAGCCTCCAAAGGGTTTGTTATCCAGAGGTTAACCTATGCAGTTAGTCTTATGCCAAAAAAGGTTAAAAGCTGTGAGGTACCAACTTTATGTTGATTGTTTTTAAACTACGCATATGAACTTGAAGCTAGCCTCGGTCAGGCCGTATATGTTGATTAACTTGGGTTAATAATTCACTGTAAATTCAACTAAGTAGACTACATTACATTACTGTCATATGTTTTATGTAAGGCTGGGATTTTCATTCAATAAAGCTAAAGTCTTATTTATATAAAACACAGTGCTGAATTTGCATCCTTGTAACAGATTTTATGAAAGAACATATTTGGCTACGTTCACATTACAAGCCTCATTGCTCAAATCCGATTTTTTGCTCAAATCTGATCTCTCTGACTCGATGGTCCACACTCGTTTAGGTAAGTGACTCAAATCTGTCATTAATGTGACAAACTGGCGTCCTGAAATGACCCTCATGCGCACATCCTACTCAGTAACGTCAAGTTAATGAATCACGTGCATCATCAGCAAACAAACTAACGAGCAGAACGAGCTTCGCTGAGAAGATAATTAACTCTGATCAGCTCTCAGCTTCATTATTAGAGCGAGACGAAGGAGAAAAAGGTGAGATGAGCTGCTTTTCCACTGTTTACAGGCTTTAACTTCTGTTTGGCGCTGTTGCCGTGGTAACGCTGAATGATGGTGGACGGACAGCGAAAGAAAAAGCACATGAATTCCGATCTGAGCGTCACATTAAGGTCACATGGCCACAAATCGGATACGTATCCGATCTAGGACCACATATGAAAGTGGCTCAGGTCGGATTTGAAAAGATCAGATTTGTGACCACACAGCCCTGCAAACATCAGATGTGAGTGACATTAGGGCAAAAATCGGATTTGTGCCACTTCAGCCTGGTAAGGTGAACGTAGCCTTTGTGTATGGGGCATGGACAGGCTCTGATGAGTTGGATTACATATGTGGGCAGAAAATAAATAAACCTGCACATAGCAGTGAGTCCCAAGGTCTGAAGTTGAGAACCACTGATATAAAGAATACAATTACTCACCATTGTGGAAGTGAAGGTGAATCTGCGGTGGAATACATAGTATCTGATGGGGATGGCGAAGGTATAGAGCACATGCAGGAAAGCGAAGGCTAGAGCCAGCAATCCCAGCTGCTTCCTACACAGCATCCAACGGTCCAGCCAGTCGGGGAAACGGCGATATTTGGTGCCGTTGTAGAGCTGTAGGAAGGCGGCCATGACACCTGGCAGATAGCACAGTGCCAGCATCACCAAAGCGACCATCGGGAACACTTTATTGGCCAGGGAGACCATAATGCGGAAAGAAATGTCCTTCTTTTCCATGACCCACGTGTAGATGACATCCCGGATTAACACATAGATGAAGAGGACTGCCAGCAGTCCAACGGCGATACGGAAGGGGAGTCTCCACATGGGGAAGAGCTGGAGGGGGATGTCCTCCAGCTCAGAAGCTGCTTTCAGGGACCCTCGGTCCAAGGCGGTGAGGCCAAGACTGTGGGCGATGTCCACCACTGCCTGCTTAGCATCAGGGTTGTTGCCGCAGATCAGCACCTGAAAAGGTGATAAATATAAATACAGTGTTAAATATAAATACAATGCTCATCAACAGTTTGGGGATTAATAGCTTTTTAAAATGTTTTAAAACTAAACAGTGTTCCTTTGTTGGCTTGCAATGACTTTATAGATCATCGCAATCATAAAAAAGCTCTGAAATGGTGACTTTGGAAGAGAAATCATTCTAATTTTATCTACTAAGGTAATCAGATTCTATTCCAGGTAAGGTTTTGACCATTTCTAATGCTTCATTCATCACCAAATTTTCACACAATGTATAGGACGTCCGGTTGTAGTACGTCATGTGCTACCCTGGGCTCAAGGAGGACGCTGGAGGCAGCGTTCAGTGTTGCAGCAGCCATATTCTTTATTTTCCACTCCAAATACACAAAAACAAAACCTACACTGGCCACTTTTCAGTGGCTTCTATCTAGTCTTTTCTTCACTCAGTCTCTGCTGCTGCTCGTCCCTCTCTCTCTCTGTTCCCTCTCTGCTCTTTTTAAAAAGCGCTCACACTGCCAGCCAGATCAGCCTCAGCTGGCTTTCATTTAGGGCTGCACCTAAGCCGAGAGGGAACGAGAGCTTGTTGTTCCGCCTCCTCGTCACTGTCCCCCACGCCACAGCTCGTCCGCCTGGATCGAACGTGAGGTGGAGTGAAGCAGCCTCGCTGTGGAACAGGGGGCAGGGGCCCGGACGGCAGAGTTCATGCCTTTGTGCTTCTCGCGGCCGTTATCGTTGTCTTCCTCCTCCTGCCGTCACTCGCGTCCCTCAGTGGAGCTCAGGCTTTGCACTCCGTCCCTCACTCATTTGCGGTTCTCCCCCTGCCGTTCTGCTGGGCTTCGTCCTCGCTCTGAGCTCGGGCCCTGCCTTCCTGCAGGCTCTCGTGGCCGTCATTGGGGCCCAGGGGTCGGGCGCATGCCACATTGGTGTTTTCAAATAGCATAAAACTTTTCTAATGATTTTCCAATGACATCAACACTATTAATCACTGTGGCATGCAGAGTCCCCCGGGCACTGATGATGACCGCGAGAGACGGCAGGAAGGCGGCACCTGAACCTTGAGCAAGAACAAAGCCCTGCAAACATAGCAGGGAGAGGCGAGGAAAACCAGGGGGGGATGCCGGGCAGGGGGATGCCACAGTCACATTTTATTGTGGCGATGTAAACAAAATCATTCAGAGTGGTTTGATGGGAAATTATTCATAGTAGAGAAACTTGCCGACTTAGATTTCTTTATAGTGGTGGAGTCAGGAACCTGCAGAACTTGTAGAATAAAGAAGCACATATTAGATGTCGGACATGTTTTGGATGATCAACTGCATGTTTTTTGCCAAATTATTCCTTTAAGTGAAACATAGCAGAAAAAATATAAACTTTTCAAAATTAAAAAAAAAAATCGTCCTCAAACTTTTGACGGGTAGTGTAGGTAAAATAGCGAGAGCGACATAGAAAGAAATAGAAGTTGCCAGAAGTGGCTCAGAGTGAAAAATATCCTCTTTCATTTGTGTGAGTTCTTAAAGCCCCTGGGTTTGAGATGTTAGAATTCAGTGCTGTCCTTGAAAGCAATTGAATGCAAAAAAAAGGAAAAGAAATGAAGAAATGGATCTGGGAATGTTATCTCAGTCCTTTTCGTAAAGCATTCAGCGCTCTTAGATGTACAGCCTTCTGAAGAGCAGACGTCTGTTTGTATTTTCAACACAGTGACCCAGATAATTCATTTTCCCAGCTGACCTGCGATTCCAAATCTCAACTACTCGTCAACGTTCAAAGACCCTTGGCACCAGCATAGGCCTGATGCATCATTGATGAAATGCTCGGATTTGCAATGAACCTCTCTGCAGACTCTCTGTACTACACAAGTTCAGCACAGTGTGTAGTTACTTTGTCCTATAGGTAAACATTAAGCTTGTTCTTGTGTACTGGTTCATCTAGCTTCATCTAGCTTTATGTTGCCTCAATCATTCTTTCTTAACATGACTTGATAAGAGCAATTACATTAACTCTGATATATTTACAAACATATATATCGATGCTGTCGGAAGAAAACCTCATATCTCTATTTTTGTCGTTTTTCAGTTTTTGACATAATTTGAAAATACCTGTTGACATTTGCATTGTGTGTAAATTTCATGATGAATGGACCGAAAGAAACGACCCAAAATGACTTGGATAAAATTCTGTTTCCACTGACCTACATTGAAAGTAAAGTAGGTTTTTTCCTTCTCCTGTAAAGTTGTCATTTTGGAGATATGAGGTTTTCTTCCAACAACAGCGATTTTGATGTGACGTGTGTAGTAAATAATATCTGAAATTGCGTTTCATGCTGTTTCCAAATAAATTTCCTTGTTAAAACACACTCTGACTTAACATTTCACTGAACAAGAATGACAATCTATTCAGTGACAGACAGGATTTACATGTTTTTAGTCAATATTTTATTTAACTTCACAATATTAACAACAGTTGCAAAACATTACCAAAAATAACCAAAGGCGTTCATGATAACAATGAAATATTGGAGCACATCCTCTTTTAGTAATTTCACCCTGTTTTTAACATGCCCTTGTCAGCTTGCCCTCGCCCACCTCCCCCTTGGTGTGTCCCTGATTCCATCTACAGCTTATTACTTTATCCTGCTAACTTGCTATTTAGCAGCAAAGGGGTTGCACAGTTAGCAATAACACAAGTAGTTAACAACAAATTAGCACAATTAGTTAATAACAGAAAAGAAGAGCTGTGTATCCCACTTAAACCTGACGTTCTCAAAAACGACCTGAATTACAGAGTTCGCTTAGCTAATTAGCTCATTGAGGCTAGTCGAGTGTGTTCTTATTGAAAAATCTGCTCTTTGTTGTTTCCTGTATAACCTTTGGTGATCCCATTGAGACCAACCACCTTGAGATCTCTTTCATAGTATGTATCATATAGAGAGCTGAATATGGGGCCCTGGGAACAGAGAACTCTGGAACCAGGACCCTGGAAACATAGGGCCCTGGAAACATAGAACCCTGAGAACATAGGGTCCGTCCTGGGAACATAGAACCCTGGGAACATATGGCCCTGGGAACATAGAGCCCTGAGAACATAGGGTCCTGGGAACATAGAACCCTGAGAACATAGGGTCCTGGAAACATATAACCCTGGAAATAGAGGGCCCTGAAATGTAGAACCCTAGAAACAGGACGCTGGGAACTTAGAACCCTGGGAACATATGACCCTGATAAAATAGGGCCCTGAGAATATAGAACCCTGGAAACATAGGGCCTTGGAATGTAGAACCAAGAGAACATAGCGCCCTGAGAACATAGAAACCTGGAAACATAGGGACCTGAAACTAAGAACCCTGGAAACTGGATGCTGGAAACATAGAAGCCTGGGAGCATAGAACCCTGGGAACATAGGGCCCTGGGAACACAGAACCCTGGGAACATAAGGGCCCTGGAACGTAGAACCTTGGAAACAGAACCCTGGGCACATAGAACCCTGGAAACCTTGGTACACTGTCCCTACTAAACACGTGTCAAGTTCAACACAGCTTCAAATAACTAAACTTTCATTATAGAAGAATCTTCAGTCGGAGGGACAGAACTGTGGCACTACACGCAGTAAATGTGGCGTTAAAGGGAGAACAACTTCAAACAGTCGGTTAGTTTGTAGTTTGTATTGTAAGTGTGCTAGCTGGCTAATGTAATAGGTAATTCTGCTGAAGTTCTAGTAAGTTTTAAAGAACTATAATCTGTAACTTACTAAAACTTAACCAGCCATTTCCTTTTATCACTCCATTCCCTGCATGTACCAATGTACCAAGTTTGAAACAACAGGTTTTATCCATTTGCTACATCAAGCTGGCTGATCCCTCTAATCCATTTTGTTGGTTTGCATTCCTCAAACTGAAATTTTACAGGTCTTAAGTCAGAGACGATTTGCAAGTCAGGTAAGGGCAAGTCTGAGTTGGGTCTCGAGTCAGTCAACATGCGACTCAGGTGTGACTGTCTATATCTGGGACACATACCTACAACCCTATTTCCAAAAAAGTTGGAACGCTGTGCAAAATTTCAATAAAAACAAAACGCAATGATGTGCAAATCATTTAAACCCTATATTTCACTGAAAACAGTACAAAGACAACATATCAAAAGTTGAAACTGAGAAATTTTATTGTTTTTTGAAAAATATTTGGCCATTTTGAAAAAACTCTAAAACACAAAGAAGAAACTGTACATAAACAGGATCCAGAAACGCTGCCACCTTCTCTGGGCCTGAGCTCATTTAAAATGGCCTGAGGGGAAGCGGAAAAGTGTCCTGTGGTCCGACAAATCAACATTTGAAATTCTTTTTGGAAATCATGGACACTGTGTCCTCCGGGCTAAAGACCACTCAGCTCATTATCAGTACACAGTTCAAATGCCAGTGTTCATGATGGGGCATTAGTGCACATGATATGGGTGACATCCACAACTGTGAAGCCACCAAGAGGTGATGAAACAGTGGTAAACATGCCTCATCCCTACTTTTTTGGAATGTGTTGTTGGCATCAAATTCAAAATGGGCATATATTTTTCAAAAAATAATACAATTTCTCAGTTTCAACATTTGACATGTTGTCTTTGTAGTATTTTCCTTTAAAAATACGGTTTACATACATCATTGCATCCTATTTTTATTTACATTCTGCACAGTGTCCCAACTTTTTTGGAAATGGGGTTGTATAATCTGGAACTACATTGAGTGTGGCTGCACTAAACTACACTAATTTAATGGCATGTTGTGCTTCCTTTGGCTTTTGGTATAACACAAATTTGTCTGGGTGTAGATTCTACAAGATGCTGGAAGTGCTGTGCAAGAAAGACTGCATTGCACAAGTTGCTGCAAATTGGACAGCTCAGTCAAGGAAGCTCTGTAGAGGTGAAATTCACTGAAGCAATAAAAACTTGCTGTCATGTTGCTGGAAGCATTCAGTGAGATACAATACAAGGTATGTCCAAAAGTATCCAGAC